TGCCACTGCACTCTAGCCTGGTCGACGGAGTGAGACTCCACTCAAAAAAAAAAAACAACACACACACACACACACTGAAAAAAAATCTCATTTCCAATGAGATACATGAAATCTATAGAAAAAAAGGCTCCCTAAGAGTACACATCTATAATAAGGCATAAACTAATAAATGACGGAACAGATCAGACACCCGAACAGAACACTGACCATTGAAAAAATATCAATTTATCCATAAATAATATGGAAATTTAATACAATTCCAATAGAAACCCCAATGAAAGAGTCTCCAAAATCAAACAAAATGATTTTAAAGCTCATTGTGGGCTGGGCTTGGTGGCTCAGCCTGTAATCTCAATACTTTGGGAGGCCGAGGCGAGTGGATTGCCTGAGCCCGTGGGTTCGAGATCTGCCCGGGCAACTTGGCAAAACCTTGTCTCTAAAATAAATTAAAAAATTAACCAGGCATGGAAGCACGTGCCTGTTGTTCTGGCTACTCAGAAGACTGAGGAGGAAGGATGGCTGAAGCCCAGCAGGTAGATGCTGGGGTGACCATGAGCATGCCACTGCACTCCAACCTGAGCGATGGGGTGAGATTCCAACTCAAAAAAAAAAAGCTAATTGTGAAGAAAGGGAACAAGAATATCCTAGACATTTTATTTTTATTTATTTATTTATTTTTTGAGTTGGAATCTCACTCTGTCGCCCAGATTGGAATGCAGTGGCCGCTCCCGGCCACCGCAGCCTCGACCTGCTGGGCTCCGGGGATCCTTCTGTCTCAGCCTTCCAAGTAGCCGGAATTACAGGCATGCGCTGCCACGCCCGGCTGATTTTTTTATTTATTGTAGAGATGAGGTCGCACTGCCCAGGCGGGTCTCGAACCCGCGGGCTCAGGCAATCCACTCACCTCAGCCTCCCAAAGGTACAGGATTACAGGCTGAGCCACCGAGCCCAGCTTATGGCTTTCTTATAATTGATTTCATCTATCCCCCTATTATTATATATTTAAGTTATTTTAAAATGTTTGATATTATTAAATATGGGACGACATCTTTATAGGTAAATCTCTGAACATATTGCTTATCATTTCCTTTGGTTAAATTATTAGAAGTGGACTGGCTTGGAAAAAGCACAGTAGGACTTCCTATACTTGTTAACTGCTCTCAGGTAGGCTGCCTCTGTTTCAGCCCTGTCAAAGGTTTCATTTCCCTGTACTGGTCAAAGCTGTGGAAATTGATATTAAAATATAAAGTCAATTTAATAGGTTAAGAAAACCATAGTATCTTATTGTTTTAATTTGCATTTCTTTGATCATTATTTGGGTTGATTATTTTTTTTTAATTTTAAAAAGCTCTTATGCTCTATTTCTTTTAAAAAAAGCTATAATACTCTTAACTTATTTTTTTTCTATAGCAGTATTGGTTATTTTGTGTTTGTCTGATTCTGGGCATTGCTGTTTCATCCCACTGAGCTGTCAGGTAACACACAGTTTTAATTATTAATAAAATTACTATTTAATTATTATAATACATCATGTCTGCTATAAGTCTTATACCATTATTCTTTTTTAAAATGTCTAGGAAGCTGGGTAATTAGCAGACTAATTTTTTGATTTATTGTAGAGATGAGGTCTCGTCTGCCCAGGCAGGTCTCGAACCCACAGGCTCAGGCAATCCACTCACCTCAGCCTCCCAAAGGCGCAGGATTACAGGCTGAGCCACCAAGCCCGGTTATAAATATGAATTTTAATAAAACAAGATTCTGTGACTATATTGAATAAGATTGAAGTAAATATCTGATTTTTGTTAAAGGCATAAACTCTTACACTCAGCAAAACCTGACTGATAATGCTAACCAGGGTTTTGAACCACATTTCAAATTTCATCTGTTTTACAAAGCTTCCCCAAACCTAGATATCTTTGTGCCCTTTAGAACTCTAGAATCTTGGCAGTGACTATGAGAGCATTTAACATTTTTTGCTGAAGCAGTGTTTTAACATTTCCATGTATTAAAGCTTGCTTCAAAGAGATACAAATCCCTCAAAGGGAGTGACCTCACACCACACCCCTCAGACCTTGAACCTTAAGCACAGTATTAGGTGTGTCACGAGTAGACATCACACTTAACAGAATTAAATCCCAGAAGACTGGCCAGCTAAAATTTTGAAACTAAATACAATACATATTATTGCAATAGTTTGCTTTAGACATTTTGTATATTCCTTTAAGTTCTGAACCAATATTAACTGCAGTCTTAACAACTGGTAGCCAGTTTCAAAGATACAGAAATAAGAATTTCCAGTTAACTGCAGGCAGATTAAGAAGTAGTACTGAAAAACAAGCTTAAACATTAAGAGAAATGTCCATGTTACTGCAGCACCATTCACAGTAGCTAAAATATGGAAACAACCTAAATGTCATTTAATAAGTGAATGCATAAGGAAATTATAGTATATAATGAATTATGTAGAATAAATAAGTTTTAGAGATTTAATGTACACATGGGACTACAGTTAATAATATCATATTGTATACTTGAAATTTGCTAAGAAACTTGATCTCAAGTGTTCTTCACTCCCCCCCCACACACACATAAAATGGTTTAAAAAAAATAATTATTGAAGGCTTGCTAAGTATCAGATACAGGAAATAAATTTATGAACAAAAAATTAAGAAAAATAGTAAGAAAATAACATCAAATTTCTCATGAAAAGGAATGATATTCTCTAACTTCAGAGGCAACCACAACAGAAGAAACAGTGGAAGAAAAGAGAAATTCCATAGGTCAATCTAGGAATCAGATAAATATGCTCAGGTACAACATGGATACAGCTGGAGACCATCATACTAAGTGAACTATCACAGAAACAACTGAATACCACAGGTTCTCACTCCTAAGAGAGGCCTGATCACTGGTCACATGAGCAGACCCTACATTGCTGGGAAAGGAAGGGAAAGAGGAGGGATGGGAGTCACATACCAACACACTAGGTACCAGGTTCACTATCAGGGGGAGAGAGGGCCTGCTAAAAGCCCAAACTTCACCTGTATGCAACTTACTTATGTAGTAGATCCTCACTTTTACCCCACAACTCTAAAATAAGAAAGTGTTTAAATAAAAAATAAATTAATTAATTAAGAAATATGCTCAGGCAACAGCAAACAGAAGCATGGGTTAAACAGCAGGAACATCTCAGAAGGAGGCCTCTGCTGTAGTTGAGCTATGGCTAACTGGCAACCCAAAGGTGCCAGTGTGAAAGGGAAACAGACAGAAGAGGGTTGTTAAGATTGTTAAAGTCTTGATAATCAGAAACTTTGAGGAAAAAAATGAATGCACGTATTCAATTTAGAAAAGGATTATGATAGCTGGACATTCTCTCCCCACAGAGAGGAAAAAAGAAATTGTCCTTGTGGGAATTTTAAAAGTTTAAGATTCAGCCTCAGGGTCTCTCACTTACGCGTAAGGAGGATGTCCCAATAGGCAGGCTTGTAAACTACTGCAGTAGTGGCTGTGCAAAGGGTAATACAAGGGGACAGAGGGGTCTGCGGTAGGTGGTAAATCTAAGTAGGAAGATTTGGGGGGGATAACAGGTTCCAGCATTATCTCAGGGTCCTCTCCATCCACAAAATGCAATGATTTCTTAGGAACATATTGTACAGCAGAGGTTTATAAAACCCAGAGAACACAGGTGGTAAAAATTACACTACTGAGAAGAGGGAAGGCAGAAAATTTTCATTCATTCTTCCTTTTTAGTAGCTATGACACAGCTTAATTAAAAGTCTTTCCACCCTGTCCAGTAATCGAACTGGATGGATGGATAGATGATTAGATAGATAGAGAGATAGATAGATAGATAGATAGATAGATAGATAGATAGATAGATAGATAGATAGATAGATATCAAATCCATGTATGTCTGATATTTACACCTCAAAGATTAGGAGGAAAAAAGAACATAAATGCAGCTCTTGACATATTTATAGCTATCTGTCCCTTCACTAAATGGACCTATCTAGACATCTATGCTGTTCTAACTCTTAAACCTAGCTCTTACTTCTTAACATCATCAGTATATCTGTCTCTATTTCATTCCCTGAACATCAAGAAATCAGATTAACTGGCTTATGAGAATTGGTTGTAATGTCAGAGTGAACTGGTAATGAGAAAAGTGTTCAGTCAACTCTCTAGAGAATAAAATTGCCAAAAGTTCATGGCCTTTGAGTGGTCTTCATTTTTTTCCTAGCACCTGACCATGTTCCAGAGACATGAAGTTGCTGGATCATTTAAATATATAATTAATCTTTACAGTGTCCCATAATGGAATTCTAAGATATAAATGTAACTATAGATATTTCTTAGTGCATAGATTGGTAAATTTATCATTGCCAATAATCACCATTTCCTAGATAAGAAAGCAGAGATGAAAAAGAAGAGTTAAGTAATAACTACCCACAATATCCTACAGCCAGGAAATATGACAACTGGGATTTCAATTTGAGTATATCTGATTTTAAGCCACACCCTCTTTCTACCTTGCAGATACTTTCACATCATGTTGTATCTACTGAACATCAACTCTTTGAGCACATTACATTTCATGTCTTTAAGAAAGACTAGAATTATTTTTCTTTATCATTACAATTCAAGTCTCTCAATCAAACCTAATATGCTTCTGAGTTAAAAATCCACAGAAGAGGGCAACCCCTTCAGGTCCCCTCCCGCTGTGGGAGCTTCTTAATAAATCCTGCTTTAAACACACACACACACACACACACGCAGAAGAAACCATACAAAGAAGTTGCAAAATACTTGATCACATAAAGCATAATGTTTGCTTATGCTTTAATTAATATGACATGATGATATAGATTTTTACATATATCTACTCCACAGCACATTTGAAGAGAATAAGGACAATGTCTGACCAAAGTATCAGATCCTGAGGTTAGGGACAAGTTCTTATTTATCTCTATATATCAAAGGCTATACACAGTAGACATCCAATATCCAATTGTTGATGAAAGACGAAATCAATAATTATCAACTTCTAAAATAAATATTTTAAGGTACCTGAAACATTTTCTTAACATAAAAAAGGACTCCAATTCTTTTTTTTTTTTTAAGTATTTGATCAGCAGATAAACTTCCTACCTCTCGATCCTTGAGTTTCATGGCAAGAACCAACTGATGCCTGTGGTTAGTGAGAGCCTCCCGGTAATTTCCTTTAGAGAAGAATGCAGAGCCCAGATTCCCATGAGCCCGGCATTCTCCTGTCTGGTCACCTGAATTGGATTTTAAAAAAAAGATAAAAATCTTCTAAGTTATAGTGTTATTTATAATCTATAACAGCCATCTTAATTTAAGAGTCACAGATTTATTAGCTAATGCTTCTTCCACAAGAACCTATGTGGGGAGTTGTGATCCTAGAACTTTATTCCCTGGACAACAACTGCTACTGTTAAACAACTGCAGTCAGGGACTTTGGTCCTTTTCTGGAAACAAGAGCTTGACAAAAACCAGCTATTGTGTGAGTCTCCCCGTTGCTCTGCTAATAACCTTTGATTCTGAACAACGATCAGCTTGTTGTTTCAGTCATTTAACTCCAAATCTACTATAATACTTTGTTTCTTTATAAGAATGCTGGTGGCAGAATCACAATATCCCTTCTCATATTGCAATCCTGAAAGTCCTTGAATAATTGCCATAATGACCATCATAATCATAAGCTATACTTATATTATAAATGAGGAAACTGTGGTGCAGAGAGGTTAGAAAACTTGCCCAAAGACACATAGGTAGTAAATGGCAGTCAGAATTCTGAACTCAGCAGTCTGGCTCCATGGTATACACACTTAACCTCTCACTATACTAATCACCCCCACAAAATTATGATGTATTCTAATGGTGGAAAAAATTAAAATTAAGATGAAAGATTCACCCATCAAAACTATCATTTGGGATATTAAATTTGTGAGCCCAGATTGCCTCTCTGAAGAGGGTAAGGAATATGTTAATCCATATCTCTTGGCCTTTTGGGAGTCATGGTACCTTATACAAAAAAAAGCCTTAAGAGCTGAGTACTCCAAAACAGAAATCATTCTAGAGACACTCACTTTTCATTTCACATGTTATTCCCATTCACGTCAGATTAATCAGCTTTGTTTGCTTCCTTTATGCATTAAAATAAAAGAAAGAAGCATAACTCTACCTAAGGTCTTGGCTACATCCAAGTCCTGCTGCATATATCCAGTGCTCTTCTCTGTGTTTCCAAGAGACCAGTAAGCACTGCTCAGGGCAGAGAAAACAGAGCCTCTCAGTTTGAGGCTGCAGGTGCCAATCTTCAAAGCAGCTTCTAAGACAACTACAGAGGCCCCATGATGTCCAGCCGTCAGGAGTTCCTGCCCAACCACAGACACGACCACAAAGGGACTCTTGTCCAGTTTCATTTTTTGAAGCTGCTGATAAGTGGGCTCGAGAGAGTCTGAAAATAAACAACAACAATAATAACAAAATACACAGGAGAAGGATGATACACAAAACAATCTTTTCTAATATTATCTGGAAACAAATGTTTATCAAACCTTAGATGTGCTATGTCTATTAAAACTCTTCAGCCTTTAATCTAGCACCACCCAACCTGTCCACTTATGTGACTAGTACCACAAACTGCAATCTAATAATTTCCCGCTCCTCACTCTTGTGCACATGTCACACATACTTTTTCTGGTAATTTTTTTTTATCAAGATGTGCCATTTTTCCTAAATAGTTTCCCTCTTCTGTTCTGCTCCCCTCTCAAAATATTACAAGACCACCTCTCAAGTCCCACCTGTATTTGGAATATCCCCAGGTCTTGCTGCATGCATTAATCTTTGTATCCAAATTTGTGTTGTATTTGTAGTGTTAGTATTGCACAGATTGGACATTAACTATTTTGGAATTGTTCCGCATGTGTTGTTTTAAAATATTTTCCCAGCTAATCCAAAGATTGCTACAAAACTGCTTAATATAGCTCCATAGCAAGTGGTACAATGTGGGCATTCAATAAAAAACTCGGCAACCCCCTCGAGTCCCCTCCTACTCTAGGAGCTTTTCTGTCCTCTCAATAAATTCTACTTTCTCACAAAAAATAAAAATAAAATAAAAACTCACCATTCCCTAGCATCTCTGGCATTTGATAAATGTTTGTTTACTTGAGATGGAGTACCACTCTGTCACCCAGGCTAGAGTGCAGTGACATGATCATGGCTCACCGCAGCCTCAATCTCCTGAGCTCAGACTATCCTTACACCTCAGTCTCCTGAATAACTGAGACTACAGGCACATCCCACCACACCTGGCTAATTTTTTTTATTTTTTATATTTGTTTTGGTAGAGATAAGGTCTACCTACACTATCTAGGCTAGAGATAAGTGTTTGTTAAACTTTAATATGAATCACTAGTTAATAAAACCTGTCCATATTTTTTTCCTAGAATATGCAATAAAGGAAGTTCTTTCAACAAAATTCTCACTGGTAACCCAGTGTCTTCTGCTTCTGAGACCAATATGACCAAATTTAAAACTATTATTAATTTTTGTTTGGTCACAAATGAAACCATACAGAAATCATCTGAGTTTATTAAGGTAAGGTGGAAAATAAAAGTAATGTTGGTCTCATTTTGTTTCCATGTAATATTTAAAAGTCATAGATTAGGGGTCCATAAGCTACAAGGAAAGTCTTTCTATTTGAAGGTTTGAATGTAGATAACCTCCAGGCTCTTTCTCCCTCTTTTTTTCTTTAAAGACAATTGCAGAGTTATTAACCATAGTCCTACCATGAGATGGCACTTATAAAACACTATTATTAGCTTTCCTGAAAAACAATTTCACATTAGTTTTGCTACTATCCACATGTAAAAAAAAAAGTTTTAAAGGGGTTGGTCTCTTTAAATCTTGAAGCCTACAGTACTACATTAAAATGTAATTTTTACAATTTATGACTTTGAATCTAAGTTCTCCACTAAAAAGCTCTCGCCTGAATCAACATTACCACAGAAACCTGGAAACCTAGTAGTGCCTAAAGCATTTTTTCCCTTCAATCAGATCACTAAACAGAGAACAAAGAACATTTTTACACCTCTCAAGATGCAAGCAGTGCATAGTATCAGTAAACACTAGCTAAGTATAGGCACAAGAACCCAAGAATTGCTAGAATAAAAAAGAAAAATACCACACTAAAATACTATAAAGAGAATTAGGGTGGTATCTTCTGATGAGTTTGGCAGTCAATAATGATCACATCATCACCCCACTAGCCAATTTTAAAAAACAGAAATAGTAAAATTTTCAAGCTGAAAAGACTTAGAAAAAGGCTCATTTTAGAAATGAAGAATCTGAGTATTTAAGTGACTCACTCAAGAACAAAGAGCTTGGGACAGAGCCAAGATATAAGAACCCATTGCAGGGCTCTTGATACTACATCAAGCAAGATTCTTAGTTGCTAGCAATAGAAACCAATCCTTTCAAAAGAAGATACACAAGCAGCTAACAGGTACATGGAAAAAATGCTCAGCCTCAATAATCACCAGAGAAATGCAAATCAAAACTATAATGCGAAACCACCTAACTCCAGTAAGGATGACTATCATTAATAAGTCAAAAAACAACACATGCTGGTGCAGGTGTGGAGAAAATGAAACACTTCTACACTGTTGGTGGGAGTGCAATCTAGAAAGCAGTATGGCAATTCCTAAATTGACCTTCCATATGATCCAACAATCCCTCTCCGGGGAATATACCCGGAGGAACAGAAATCATTCTACAAAAAAGACACCTGCACAGGTATGTTTATAGCCACACTATTCACAAAAGCAAAAACATGGAACATCCTTACTGCCCGTCGAAAGTGGACTGGATTAAAAAAAAATGTGGTACATATACATAGAAGTATTATGCAGCCATAAAGAAGAACAAAATCATGGACTTCACAGCAAATTGAATAGAGTTGTAGACCATCATACTTAATGTTCTATTACAGAAACAAAGAACTGACTACTGCATGTTCTCACTCATAAGTGGGACCTGAATATTAAACACATTAGCCCAAGCGAGGGATGGGCAGTCACTGGGCAGTGCCGAGGGTGGGGACATGTAACAACACAAAGGGTACCTGGTCCCAAACCTGGGGAAGTGAGGGCCATTTAAAGGCCCAAACTTCACCTGCATGCAGCTTACTTGTATAGTTAATCCTTACTTGTACCCCACATCTCTAGAATAAAATAAACTTTAAAACAAAACAACAAAAAATAAACCAATCTTGACTGCTTTTAAGTAGAAACAAAACAGACTGAGTGACTACTGGTAAGGGTAGAAAACTAGACCTCCATACCCACAGTCAAAATCATGCCATAAAAGCTGCCTGGTGAAGGTAACATAACTGTTGCAACTGACCACTGGGTGCTGTAGCTTGCTTTACTGCCCTCCAACCACTGAATGTCACCCTTGGAAAATGGATGTCACTGTTGCCAACTCCACCACCAGAACAAATTCTGTGCTACCTTTTCATATTTGAATCTTCAGCTCCTGATTCAAAGACAGGGTCCTAGCTGCAAAGGAAAATGGGGAAATTAGGATCTGATGATTTCATATTTATAGTGTAAGGCAGGAAGAAGTGTAGGATGGGGGATACCCTAAAAACAGAAGACTGTTAAAACACTGACATCCCAAAATGACTGATGGCTAGAAGATACTATGCTTTAGTTGGTGGTCTTTTTTCCCATAGCAAACATGGCTAAGTTAGAAAAAGAGTCATCTTTCTAATTGAGCCTCTAAATTTATACAATAGTAGAAAGAAATGAGAACACTGTCACAGAGTATTAAGAGAAATAATTGAACAATTCCCAAAAAAGAAAGATTGATTATACAAATTTTTACTAGATGAGAATGAAACTGAAGAAATGAGTAGAAAATAAAATTTCCATTTGTAGTATACAGAAAAGACAATATAAATACATTAAAAGATAAATTATAGGGGCTGGGTATGGTGGGTGATGCTTGTAATCCCAGTGCTTTGGGAAGCAGAATCAAGAGAATCTCTTGATGCTAGGAGTTTGAGACCAACCTATGCAAAATAGTGAGCCCTCATCTCCACTGCACTCCAGTCTGGGGCAACAGAGTGAGACTCCAACTCAAAGAGAAACAAAAAAGAAAAAAAGAAAAGCTGGGTATGGCGGGGTACACCTGCAATGCTAGCTACTTGGGAGGCTGAGGTAGGAGGATTGGAGGATTGCTTATGTCCAGAAGTTTGAGGTTATAGTGACTAAGAACATGCCACCACACTCCAGCCTGGGGGACAGAGCAATGACACAAAGATAAATATAAGGCTAATACAAAACATATGCTATAAAAGTTTGGAAAAGGGAGTGATTATCAAGGGCAATTGGAAAACTACCTGGAAGCAAAACTTGATTTCTTGAAAAAAGGGCAGAACTTAGACAAGTCTCTGCCATATTCCAAGAATGGAAAATATTTATGCAGAAGGTATCAGCAGAAGACAGGTACATGGAATGATGAGGAATGCTAAGTAGGCCAGCTTGAAATGACCACAGAATATCTGTAGAGCAGAAAGCTGATGGAGAAACACTGACCTACAGATAGAGACCTATATTTCTTTCTTTTTTCTTTTGAGTTGGAGTCTCACTCTGTCGCCCAGACTGAGTGCAGTGGCCGCTCCCGGCCACTGCAGCCTCGACCTGCTGGGCTCCGGCGATCCTTCCGCCTCAGCCTTCCAAGTAGCCGGAATTACAGGCGCGCGCTACCATGCCCGGCTAATTTTTTTTTTTTTATTGTAGAGATGAGGTCTCGCTGCCCGTGGGTCTTGAACCCGCGGGCTCAGGCAATCCACTCACCTCAGCCTCCCAAAGGCGCGGGATTACAGGCTGAGCCACCGAGCCCGGCTTGAGACCTATATTTCAAAGCCCATAGCCTCAGTCTCTCACTTTGTCAAATGTATAGGTCTTAATTGTACTGATGGTTATTCAACTCTATACATGTATACATGTATACATGTACATATTTGTGTACATGTATTATTTATATATACATATACATATATATGAGTATATCTATGCATGCGCACAGATACACAAAAAGTTCATTTCACTGTACATAAATTTTTTAAAATTTTAAATATCAAATTTCTCTGCTTTAGGCTGCAATTATGTCTCATTGGTCCATGACCACTAAGCAGAAGCTCTAGTTAGCAGCTGTACTGTTTTTGATGAATAAAATTGGTAAGATAAGTTTTTTTAATGTATAGATGATCACTAAGATTCTTTCCAACTCTATTAGTCTATTATTTTAATTCCTATTTTAGAGAAACAGGCTATTAGCAAAGGGACTAACTTTGTAATTTTATCCAGCTAGGTGGAATAGTTTTGGCAGACTATAGCTATTAAGATGTTTTTCTTTCTAGAATCTATGCATAATACATGAAATAGCCAATGTCAAACCAACTCCATAAGAACATAAAAGCCAGCCAGGCTCGGTGGCTCAGCCTGTAATACCGCGCCTCTGGGAGGCTGAGGTGAGTGGATTGCCAGAGCCCGCGGGTTCGAGACCCGCCTGGGC